TGTTTGCTTCCTGTTGGATTGTCGTCGTAAATGCAAGTGATAATTGAGTACGCCTTAGCGGTTACAGGAACCTCCTCCGGGCTCCTGGGATGAGTAGGTGAGCTTCTTGCAGGAACGGAGCTTGCTACCGATCTACTCATAGACGACGGACTTGTAATCTGCATACCGCACTCTGGCCACCAAAGTTGCCCGAGTTGAACGAGGCCGATCGACATGGTCTGACGTGATGTTTGCTAGACCTAAAACGCCGCCGAATACTTGCTGATCAACACGAGGCGAGGTTGTTGAGCCATTTGGGTCCATCAAGAGGAAGTCTCGTTAGAGAGTGGCAGCTCGAGCGCACTGCATCACTTCCAACTAGATTCTCATGTGATGAGACTGCTTGAAGGCGAACTCAAACAATCGACCTTATGCAACCACTCTAGCCTTCGGACACTGGCGAAAATTGGAAAGCTCGCGGCCAACGATGAGTCGAACCTGCTCGATGCCTCACGAAGCGAACTTGCGTAGCGGACTCCCCAGCGCCCCATAGAGCGGATACATGCCTGAAAATGCAAAGCAATGAGTCGTGACCGTTTATTGAGACTCCTTCATTCCCCAGATTGCCTTTAGAATGCGTAATGAGACAACAACCTCTCATCAGAGCTCTTCAAAGAGCGGCACAGCTGTAAACCAATCGAAAACAAGCAGGTTGAGTGCTGCACTGACCAGGGGGCCTGGGCTCTGAGAGTTTGATCTGGCCCAAGCCCAGGCCTGGGAACCCCTGGATGTGCATAGGTGCTGCAGACTGCGAGCCGGAATCCTCCTCCCCTTGCGTTAGCCTGACCATGGTGGGTAGTTTGACGAGAAGCAGTCAAAAGGCGTGGGTCGTCGGTATTACTATCGGTCTGGATAGAAATGAAAAAAGGAAGCTCGTTTGTTGGAGTGTGATGAATCTACTACGTAGTCAATGTCATTCAAGTACCCATTTCCATACCATCAGCACAAGCACTTCATGCTCACCTCACGCTCTTGGAAGAATGGACATGCCACGCGTTCTCATGTATGGAGAAGCTAGAGATAATTAGACCCTACTCAACATGCAAAGATAAACTCTTCCCTCTACGCCACAGAGTCTTGAGTGATAATTCTGCAAAGAGCCTGGAAACCCGTTATTTGACGTGGCTCTTCAAGAAAGCTGGCGTTTACAACTCAACAGGCCAACACTGATGAGATTTCTTCGGTTGTAAGTGGGCGGGTCAAGTTGCGGGTCATTCAGGTCGGCCAAGGGCAGAAATTTGCTGCCGGTCAAGGATGAGCAAATGAGGGCATGATATCTTTGTAACCGTACCCGGTTACAGTTGGAAGATCCGGCGCGCCGGTCAAGATGGTTGAAGCTCCCTGGTCACCGCTGCACCTTTGGAAATGAGGGACCCTTGAAGATGCCCGGTGAATTCCGGTCAAAGACATCCGTCCATGGGCTCTTCACCTCGTGGTCAAGATTATTCTACCGCGAAGAGCCTGGGCTTATTCCTCTATGCTGTTATAAACCCTCTATACGTCTAAATCGACCGAGGCGTCGAGATGCTTGCATTCGCCTATTGAGAAGACCTGTTGATACGGGATCAGTCGATCAAGCAAGAAGTGGCACCAAGGTTGGCAATAGCTTGTCTAGCGTCTAGCGTTGACGGGGGAGAGTTCGCGAGAGTTCGATGCAGTGCTCCAAGCCGGGGCGGGATCAAGGCCTGGCACCGGCATCTCTGCACGATGCCTTCCGTCTTGGTGGGTGGACCGCACGTGCCTATAGCGAGGCTTGCAGACAGGGGCCATGTTCAGTTCGAGTTTGCTATCTTCCCAAAAGGTGTATACCCCGGCAGCGAGACCCGCAGCGAGGTGACGAGAACTGAATTGAGGAGCAGTATTGGCACATCCGGCCGCCGCCCAGGCTGTACGAAGTTGTGATCTGTAAAGGGTTTGGAGCTGCAGGTGCTATACGGGAAAAGGTGCAGTAGCGGTATCACCGGACTACAATGAGCACGCTAGGAAGTCGATGCCGGAGGTTGCTGGCAGCCTCGCTTGCCTTGGTGAAGGACTCGGCCGGGAAAGGTGCTCGAAGCTCCCGACTTCTAGTGTGTCCTACTGCGTGCCTGGCTTGCGTCTGGTGTCTGAAAATGGTCAAGCAATGACCCAAGCTTACAGGGCCAAGAGGAGGCCAAGGACGGGGATCCGGATGGCAGTGATGGGCAACGGGGGGAAGGGGTCAAAGGCTGGAAGCTGGAACCAACTGGATGATACTCCGTAAACCGTTGTCCAACGGGTCGGCCAGCAAGATTGACGAGATACCCTGTCTGGGCTCTGGAGTATGAGGTCCTGGATTCATTCTCTTTCCCCTTGTGCGGCAGCCGGGTCTCGCCTCTTGTCCGTTGCAACTTCAGACGACCAGGGCTTCGGATGGTAGCCGCTCCGCCAGTTCAGGCACCCGGTGACGTCGGGTGAAATACGGGGCGAAGGATCGCAGTATTAGCTTGTTGGTGACAAGCTGTACTCCACAGCTTGAAAATTGAATTGGGGATATGTGACGGGCGGGATGGGGTTGGAAGTGAGGGTTGCCAAGCCACAGCCTACAAGAAGCCGGTGAAGACTAACGAGTGACGACGGGATATCCGATCTTGGCGAAGAAGAACCCCTGAGGGCGATGATTCTACCTCTGGGCATAATACGAGATATTGCTGCGTTCACCATATAGATGTGGATGTAGTAGTTCGTCGTAGGTCACCCAGAGTTGTACAGAGGTTGGACTTCAAGTTCGTGAAGGATGGAATCGGGTGCATTTTGGGTGTGGAAGACTTGAAAAGCATGAATTACATAATCAATAATTTGCTCAGCGCCTGCTACAGCGGCACTCCCACTGAACAACTGCATTTCAGCGGCTGTACTACGTAAGCACACGTCAGGGCAGAGCGGAAGGTATGCACCTCGAAAAAAAAACAGTACCAGGCATGCAGGGGCTTCAAGGAAGGTGCGAATATCATCCACTACCTAATTACCTGCCGGTTTGGAATAAGGCAGGAACATCGTCCATGCCGGGCGCAATTGCCTCAGGCTTTTTCTTTTGATTCCCAAAAGAACGTCCGTGAGGCACGTAACCACCAACATCATCAAATCGTCAACCTTTGATTCTTCCTCCTTCGCCTCAAAGTCTCACATCTCGTAAACTCACTACCACGGAAATCCCACAGCCACAGCCATTTGCGGCCATTGACTCTTCATTTGCTTTCTTCCACCTCTTCGAGAGAATCCGATGCTCGCCTGACGATTGCCTCCAGCTATTGGAAAGACCGCAGGATTTATGCCCGACCACGCGCCGCATCGTGCAGCATGTCGGAGATGAGGCGCGCAACGGTGGGCGGCTCGGGATGAAGTGACATATCATAGAATAAGCAAAGAAGGCTTCGGCCACCACTTCGAATACGACATCAACACCTAAATAAGCAATCCGTCAAGCCAATCTTTGCCACCGCGACAGTGGCATTGTGGCAGACATACAAATTTGCCGTACCATTGCCCAGCGTCGAATGGAAGATTGGGCCGTGAAGCGTCGCCCTGAACCAGACTTGCACCCTGGCGCATGTAACATCACAGCCGAACATTACCAGCCAGTCCTTCTTCTGCAAAGGCGCCAAAGAAACAACACGGGAACACCATGACCTGGCAAAAATTGCAGATATACGCATATCCCGCTTCTATTCATGTCGCTCATCACACATATCACCGACCTCGCATTGCGCCGTGCATGCTGCCGGGTACATACTTCCACCATTATCAGCCGCATACCTATGCCTCTGCAGAAACCCCCCGCCATTTGATCCTGATCGGTACCCGATACCGGCGGAGAGGCTTATTTTCCTGTAAGGCCTCTACGATGATTTCACGTCCTTCCCTGAGCGAAGAGCACGCACTCGCTTCACCGGCTTCCGCAAGCCAAATTTGCCCGGCGGCTCAGCATGGTCCAGGTGATGTGATACTCAAAGACATCTGGCCAGGACTGTCTCTGGCTCCTCTGTCCTGATGAGCACAGGACAGCCTCATAGCCGGAATGAGCCACTTGCACTAGAGCCGAGAAACAGTCTTAGATGAGGCCACATCTATGGCTGGCGGCTTGTGGGCAGCCCACGCCAGCGACTCAGCAGCATCTGCGTTTGATTGTTGATCCATGGTCATCAAATTCTCTTTGCGGTTGAGAACGCGCTTCAAACAATAGCCGTTCGGGCGGAAGCAATTTAGACTGGCATCCTTTGGTCGCAACGGAAAATGTACACACAATTCCGGCATTGTCCAGTTCTAGACAGCGAAGAAGATTTACCAGCCGAGGGAAGCTTACAGCCACGGAAGCATACAGTCTCGAAGCCGGCAGCGCAACGAAGAAGTGGTCGCCAGAACAAGCTGACAATGATACCCCGAGAGACACAAATCGCAGCTAGAGCTGCCCTGCGCTCTTAGCTTTACGCAAGCTCGCCCTGTGGTACGGCTGATGAGGGACCAAGACCAAGTGTCAACGAAGACATCAATCAATGTACGAGAAGCAATGTAGAGTCGGGAGAAAGCAAAATATGGCCGTAGCCGTGCGCCACCAACAACAAGAAATCCTCACATATTTGCATGATTTGACTCGCAGAAATATGCGCCCAGTTATTACGGTTCGGTTGCTGGGCCAAGACAAGCAACCAAAAGTCCACCAACCTAGCCATGTTAAGCGGGCGTCTATAGCATGCCGGCGCGACCTGTCGTGTCTCCGCTGGCTATCTTTTGGGCGAGTCGGTTGTTACTAATAATTAGCATTGAAGACAGCTGGCTGCAAAGAGCGACGGAACAGACAGAACCTCTAATTCAGTGGGCTTTCCCCGATGTGAATGGAGCATCGCGGCCGAAAAGGGCCCCCGGGCCCAAATATTGACTGGATAGATGGGAACGCTGTAGCACATCCACACTCTTTTAATGCTCCGCATCCCTTTACGAGCATCATGGCACAATCCCCAGCTTCACAAAAAGAAGAGAATGCGAGGTTCCGGTAGGTCGCGGCCTACAGGGCACATCACATGGATTGCCGTACTTCTCGTCTGCTCGCCGGCCGGTGATGAGCAGTGTCCAAAATAGCCGGAACATGTCTGGTGTCTGTACAAAATCGTTGAACGACGGTTGATCAACCACACTCATAGCGGTTGTTCCATGGGTAGGTTGACATCCACGCTCGGCAACAAGCCGGATTCCAGACGGCCGAAGCCCGGGATCCAGCGCAAGACCGGTGGTGTGGCACAATTCAAAATGTGCCTCGACTCGGGGGCAGACGGTAGACCGGCGAATCGTCTCTCGGTGACGCGACCCATCTCTAGATAGGACAAACAGTGGCTGGTGCTATTGGCAGTGTTTACTGGGCCTACGACCCTACGCAAGAGGCGAGACGGAAAGGCATGACAAGGGGGTCCAATGCCAGCGAGCACGATCGAGCCTCATGTGGGAGCCGCTCATCAGATCACCCGTCAACCAGACATGGCAGAGATTATTAGCCCAGCACTTGTGGTCGAAAGCTTTTCACAAGGGCATACTATCACCAACGATGTTGCTCCCGAAACCATGAGCATCCACTGCCATGAGCTAGCCCGCAAACAGACTGGAGACTGGAAGCGTTGGACCCAGCAAGCTGGGGGAGGGCATGATGACGAAGTGCAGGGCACAAGGGCCGAGACCGCGACTCACGAGACTCGAGACCAAGATATTCGAAAAGAGAAGAGGGCACTGCGGTCCTTGTCCCCGGCAGAGAGGAGCTCTGTCGGTTGACTCGTCTCGTCTGCATCGTAGGCTGCGCAACACACGTCAACTTCCTTGCCAACTTTGCCCTGAGCTGAGTCGATGTGTCGTTCGTCGTATTCTCCCTGGCAAGCGGAACCTGCCCTGCAGGCAGCAAACAGCAAGGGAAACGAGTAGGAGAAGGAGGCAACGCCACAAGCTCTGTTCGGGGCTGCAGTTCAGGTTTTGGCGTCCCAAACAAGCGCCCGTGAGTCTGACGAAATGATCGGAATCAGGACGATGGAATAATGGCAGCCTTCAGCACTGATACAGCAGTGAAAAAATTTCTCCAGACGGTCGACGGCTTGCCCCTGGTCATTCACTTTTATTTTACCATCACGCTTCTTCGTCGACAACTCGGCGTCACACTTCCTCTCAGATGAGGGAAGAGGGAAAGGAAATGGATGCAAGCCAGGAATGGCTTCCTCCCTAGCCCTAGACTAAGGCCCGGGAGAGACCCCGTCGTTCACTAAGAAGCCCCCCCTGTCGATGGACCTAGCTCCCAGGCCACCCGGTCCAGGTACACACATGTTGGTGCAATTGGTTTTTGTCAATTACTACGTAGGCCAGTTGGTCCACAGAGCACGCCCAAGGGCGTGTCGTGTGTATGTGTGAGGGTCTCAATACCGGGGGAGGGGGACGGAGGGAGCTGGGCGGGAAGAAAAAGAAAAGAAGATGAGGAGGGAAAACGTCGAACAAGGGCAAGGGGCAAGCCGTTAGGTTGGGAGGGACCGCTGGGACCAGGCCACTGCGAGCAAGGGGTTTGCTCTCACGCAAACCCAGGCCACTGACGCAGCAAGTGTACGAATCACACTTTCTAGCTGACGAAGCAACCAGCAAAGTACTGGGCTCACCTTACTCCGCCTCCGGAATACATGTGGGCAAGCAACGCAACACGGAAAGAGGTGGAGTTGGGAAGTGGAAGATAGCATCGGATTGGAGCGTCGACGTAAATTTGGAAGCAATCGTGGATTACAACGGAAGGACGAAGTCAATAGGGGGAAAGACTTGGGGATGGATGTGGTTTCCTCCCATTCAGAATCATGGTGGTGTCCGCTGCTGCCCGCCGCCGAGTCTCCTTTGCGCCTCGCACTTTGGTGGCGCAGTCCGTGAGAAAGAGTCAAGAGTCAAGAGAGAGGGAGAGAGACAGACCTGAGCTTTGGAAGGAAGTTGCTGTCTATGCCCAAGAAGGAGAAACAAATGCGACCTAAGATGCGGCAGGAGATGCCGTGGTTCGTGGTTCCGAACTTGCGATACTTGTCGACAACAGCAATTTGCCGCGGCCTTTCGAGAAGCAATGCAAGAGCGTTGCTGGCATTTACCTGCTCATGGGCTGGTATGTCTTCCGAATAATTCCATGGCTCGGCTTGATGAACAACGTATCGAGATTGCCTTCTCCCGGCGGCACCTGTCGTCTGATGCTGTAAACCAGCAATCCGAGCGCATCGCCATAGCCCAAGACTTCACCACGGCGCCTCCCTCCCCTCGCGCTCCGCCTTGCCAAATTGTGGCCTCGAGTATCTGACCTCGTCTGGCTCTCGTCGCGTCAAATCTGTTGCAATGGTCTGGCTATTCACCCATGGCCGGCGGCAGGCAATCAAAGACAGCCGCGCGCACGGCACCTCCAGTCGGCCGCTGGCCATTTCCCCTCATTATATCATGGCATCAGTGCGCTCGACTTTGGCGCCTCCCTCCAAACCTCACGGGTCACAGCACCGTCCGAGGGCTGTCCAAGATGCAGAGAGCTCGTTGAAGATGCAACATTCGCCGGCCCTGCGCAGTTTTCACCAAGGAACATTGCACTAGGTAGTCTCAACACTCTTACTCTTCGTTTTGTGTCTTCATATTGCCATTAGAGAACCTGTCGATGTCGTTCTGCCTGTCCTTTTGGAGTGTTGGACCGACCCAGCTAGCTATTGTCTACACTCTACAGCTCACTTCGCCGCGTTGCTGCATTGCCGACTCCTAGGGTGTCTTTGGCTCCGATCATACGGTGCAAAACTGGGCGAGGGCCGAGTCTAGGAGCTACTGTACCTTGGTCAAGGGGTGGATGGGATACGGGACGGAACCTGCGTCTTGCATCCTGCGTCCGCGGCGCCTCGGCCGGCATCTTGTCTGTCTTGCCTGTCGGCTTGTCACACGGTACACCCCCAAGGACGACTCAGCGTCACATTCGCTCGAGCTTCACTGCATATGCACATGCATAAGGTACGAGCAGAACATCACAACTATTGCATTCCTCGCGCCTTCTCTCATTCTTCTGCGCATTCTCTCTTTCCCCCGTCCTCCTCCCCCTGGCGCTGGCACTTCACCAGCTTCCTGCATACATGCTCCGTCCACACACCTGAGCGAACCGGGTGGTCCAAGGGAAGGCCAATACGGCGGTGACATGCCTCTGCTCATGCCGTCCCTCTTCACTATGAACGGAGCAGCTCTCCTCTTTCGTACTCCGTAACGCCGTTGCCTATGTATCCGATCCAATTCATGCCACTCACTGCTTTCCTCGCCTGTTGCTCATCCATCCCATCCGCACCACGAACGCGCGAAACGGGTAGCTAGGGCTTTCGAGCTCTTTCTTTGTTCCTCCTAAGGGTCGCGTGTTGCCGTCCCTCGGGAGACAAAAGACGCCAGACTGACGCACGATAGACCAAGCTTGCCTCCGTCGCAAGCCCAGCCAGTCCTCGAGCAGCGCACTACTCTCTTAGTCTTGCGGGCGGCCCCAACTGATCTTCAACGTCGACAAACTGGCCAAAAGAAAAATCAGAAAAAAATAAAACCAAGAGAACCCCGTTCGTCGAGCAAAGGCAAAAAGGTACGTACGCCACGCTATCCGTACCGGGCAGGGGAACAATGTGGTGTGGCACGGTACATTCATCCACACATTTGCCCATCCCTCCATCTTTCATCCACACACCCTCCAAAGTTCCCGGACGCTTGGCCTGGCTGGTCACCCCCCTCCAGAAGTCCACCCTCCACTCTTCCCTACTACGTGATCGTCCGCTCGCTTTGGGCACTCACATGGGAGGGCCTCTTCTTGGGCTCCCGAAACCTTGAGTCAAGCCCTGGTCCTGGTATGCAACTATCCACCATTAGCACGGGCAAGGATCCCTCCAACACGTCTGTCCCAGGGCTATGACATTCCTGCTATGCCTATTCCCCTCCCACATCAATGCCCGTCATCTCCTCCCTACATTCCATAACTTCTACGTCTTCCCATCAAAACCACCTTGCACACAGGCCAAGCGGGCTGTTCCTCTGTTCACTTCTTCCGCCGTCAACTGACTGTCAACATCAGCTTGACAGCTCGATTTCGAAACCTGACCGCAACAACAATAACAACATCAACCCACTCGAAGTAGGGACTTGCGACTCGCGACTGCTCTTCAGGGAAGGACACACACACACAACGCCAGAGGCGCATATCTCTTGGATCGAATCGACTGGACCTTTGCGTGGACGAAGCACCGGCACCCATTGACCTATCCGATACCCGCACGAGGCCACAGCAAAGGCGCAGCAGGACGATACCGTACTCGAGGGATAGGTTGGACCTGACTTTACGACTGCATTATCGGACCTGGACCCGACTGAGGAGGCGGCCTCGAAACCCAACGACTATTAACCGCGCGCACATCGCTTACACGACTGTTGCCCATGCTTTTCTACGAGATCTACCAGCAGCAGCCATGGTAATGCTGAGCGACCATTCCATGCGTGCCAGCCTCCAAGTGGCCCCTCTCAAGCTTCACAAATCTAGATCCTGCGATGCTCTGTCCTCGAAACAAGACCACTACAGTTCCAAGTCGTACACAGCATCACACATGACGCCGCCCGCAACACCCAATGGCTCGCAGGAAGACCTGGCGGCCGACCAGCTGCCACCGCCGGTCTTTCACAACTTCCTGCGAGCCTTTTATCCTTTCCATCCAAGCTATGCCATGACCGACTCGAGCGTTACTCTTCCATTGAACGAGGGAGATGTTATTTTGGTGCACTCAATTCACACCAATGGATGGGCTGATGGAACCCTGCTGGTATCAGGCGCAAGGGGATGGCTTCCAACCAACTACTGCGAGGCATATGACCCGGAAGAGATGAGAAACCTTTTGAAAGCATTGCTCAACTTCTGGGACCTTTTGCGAAGCACATCAGTAAACGACAGCGAGATTTTCGGCAATCAAGAATTCATGAAGGGTATCATCGCGGGAGTACGCTATCTGTTGGTAAGCTTCTGACTCTGTGCCACGTCCCCTCCTGTTGCTGTTTTACTCACATTATCAAAAAGGAACGCACGCACTGCTTGACGAGGGAGTCGGCCATCATAACCCGCAACGAAAGTCTGCGGCGCGCACGCAAGACCTTACTTTCCGAGTTGTCGGCCTTGGTAAAGACGGCAAAGCGTTTGCAAGAGGCCCAAAAGGGCATCGCCCAGCCGACAGAAGATGTCAATGATATCATTGACGAAATGATCCTGAAGGCATTCAAGATCGTGACCAAGGGTGTGAGATTTTTCGACATCCTTGAGGATGATCGTAGGCAACGCGCCCCCG